CGGCCCCCCCCCCCCCCCGGCACAGCCATTGCGCCCAGCAAGCAGAGCTAGCCGCCCAGCGGCCCGCCGGCGCCCCCCCCGGCATTACCATCAGTTTGTGTTGTTATTTTCTATAAAATAAATGGATTATCTGTGGTACTTCAAATAAACACATGTGAAGACTTTTTATTACTTTTTTTTGCAAATCAACAGGTGGTGCCAAAGCCAAACGAAGGGCAGCTACAACAAATTATCATTGTAATCTCCACAATAATACTGGTTGTCACCCTGGCCCATATCATTTCCTGTTATAGACTAACCTCGGCCCCCCATCTCAGAAAGGAAAGTTGATGTGGCCCCCACTGAAAAAAGTTTGGGGACCGCTGCTCTAGAATGATGGGATTGAGTTTGTTTTTGTATGTATACCTCAGCAGATTGGTGAGTCCAGGACCAGGGTCAGCTCTTCACTGAGAAATCGGCTGTCTGAGCAGGCTGCAGAGAGGGTGAGCTGTGCTGCTGTTGCCAATAATTCGCAAGAAAGGGGACAGTTGGCCTTCCTATTGAATAAAATTTGAATATGTTAATATGGCCAGCATTAAACAACAAAGTCATTATGTAGCTTTTTAGATTTGTTCTGGTTTTAAATTAATTTTATCGACCACAGTCAGCAGAGAATGCCGAGCAGCTGAGTGAGGCCCTGCTGGAGGATCTGTTGGAGGACACTGCACGGGCGGCGTGGGCAGCTGAGACAGACAGACAGTTGGAGGGCATGGCCCAGTGTAGGCTGCAGGCCCCCACCCTGGAGAGTATGCTGCTTCGTATGGAGGAGATACAGGTGAGAGCTGCCCTGCAGAAAGACCCAGCAACAAAAGGTTGCTGTGGAACCCAAAAGGTCACCAGCAATCGGTTTGTTATTTATAGTCAGCTGTTATGACAACTCTGGTCTGGGGTTGCTTACTGATGTGGGCTCACTATTGGCAAATGGGAAATATGTTTATAAAATGCATTTGTGTGTGTGTGTGTGTGTGTGTGTGTGTGTGTGTGTGTGTGCGTGCGTGCGTGCGTGCGTGCGTGTGTGTGTGTGTGTGCGCGTGTGCATGCGTGTGTGTGAGCAGAGGGATCAGGAGGAAGTGAGGAGACGGTTTGCTTCTATCACCTATTCAGACCCTCTTTACTGGGACCAACCAGAAGCAGCAGGTAAATGGTTTTAACACTGTAAACACCCTCCTGCTTATTCTAAGTGCAGTTAGAGAAATGATATCCCTGATGTCTCCTGTAGGTGGAGACAGTGCTACAACTGACAAAATTAGGTGAATACTTGTCATTCTGATTGTATGCTTCTCCTTTTATTGTCCACCTGTATATCCCTCTGTCCCATGCTCCACCCCACCCTGCACACACACTATCACCTCCCCTTCCACCCCTTGCTCTCCCTTCTTCCCAGGACCCCAATGCCATGCTCCGGGCTCCAGGCCAGCCTCTCCTCAGCCAATTAGGCTCACCAGGCCAGTGTCGAAGCAGGCTACTGCAGCTGATATTGTCCTAGAAAAACCCGTGGAGACTGGGTGGGTTACAATGTCCTTCACTCTTTTTTTATGTTCAAATAATTTCCCTGTCTCGTTATTTGCTGATGGCTCCATTCCTTGCTGTTTTCTTCATCTTGAAGAGGCAGTAGAAAACTTTGGAGTGTTCCAAGAATATTAGCTGAAGTGCACTGTCAAGGTTTGACCTATTTAACTTCCTTTCTAATCTTTTTAGCTTAAATTAGTCTCATCCTCCATCATTGGTCATCATTGCTCTGGCTAAATACTGATGATTGCATAATATTATGATATAACCCTCTTTTGAAAAATATGCATTGGTTGATTTATATTACTGGAAGAGTCTAAGGTCACTTTTTGAGGGAAAAATAAATAAATAAAAATATCATAAATAAATAAATAAATAAAGACTTCCTGTGGTTGTACTGTGAAACTAAGAACAACAGCAGCATCATCCACAGGAAGTCATTCACTGTTGGCCTAATTAGGCCTCGAGGCTTAATGAAAAGTAAAGTGGTTAATGTTTTTCCAACGAAGCACAGTTACTGTTTTTTTCCGCATGACGTGTCATTGCCCTATAATCGCTCTCCCACTGGGAGGCCTTACTCATCCCACAAAACTCACTTGGTGGCTGCCATACCCAGGGCAGTGTCTATTCCTGACTCTGGCAGCAGACTCCACAGAGAGACCCTCTCCTGCCCAGGGCTTTGGCTGCAGCTGCTTTACTGCTTAAATTAATGAGGAACTTGGAAGGAAGAGAAAAGAGAGTGGAAGGACTCAAAGTTGTTGACACAGACAAGCCAGCAGGATGTTGCTTCTTACAAATTCACACAGTGACCATTAGCAAATTAAAGTCAGTCAGACTTGTGTGGAGTTCCACAGGTTCAGTTATGTTTTTTCATTACTTGTTTTTCAGAGATATCCAGCCTTGCAGCGTCTTAATAGGGGCAAAGTCATTTGTTCTTAAGCTTCCTGAATCTGTGTAAGATAAAACAGAGACAGACCTGCCTGCATGGTGTCTGGATCTTTTCATATTTTCCTTTTTATCTTATTGAATCACAGCTGATGCAATCAGGATATTTTTTATTTTTTATTACATGGATCAATAGAAAAAAATATGATTGATTTTTAAGTGAAAACTAATCTCTACAGGATGATCTAAATTAATTACAGAAATGTATATGGAACTGGAAACAATTCTCAAGTATTTATTATAAAATAGATAATAATCCAGTTATAATAAGGTATATCAGTTAAAGTGGAGATAAGTATATATACTGTAAGTGTATGTCATGTTAATTGTATCTTTTGTGTAACATAACAAAATAGAGATTTTCAAATTAAAATCATGAGCTTAGAGTTTCAGCACTCATGTGCTTTCTACAAGAAGTGGTTGACATTTACTCTGGTGGATGTTTATTAATAGGCCGATCTAAGACCTTTTGGCCACAGTTAGAGTAATAACTATTGGTTCCTGTTGGTACATTAATTAACAAAGTCCCTTAGTTATCACTGATGTCAACAGACAAAATCGGGAGCATGGATAGTGGGTCGCTTTGCTGTCTGCTAACTCGCCAATCATGCAGTCACAGAATTGCTTTTCCACATGCTCCTCAACATTTCTAGAACAATAATAAGACAGTTAGAGGGGATTGCTCAGCATGAGAGCACAACTTTGTTATTATTGACAGGGGTTACAAATATGAAACATGTCTTTGTTATATTTTGTGGCCCCAAGATTGCCTACAGTTCAGTAATTGTCCTCATACTCATTCAAAAAATAACTATCGATTCTAATACATTGTCCACATTAGTCACCTCTTCCTCGCTCTAAATGAAGACCCAGCCAATTCAGTAGTCACTTGCTTGCTGCTTGGAGAGTGAAGTACTTTTGTCTGGGGAAAAAAACCTTCATTTTCACATTTAATTAAAAATTTTGGATCCAATTTTAATAGCCAAGTGGCAATGGGAGTTGTTCCGTGTCGGTACAATTACGAACAATATTTGCATATCAAAAGGACCAAATGAGAAAGATTATGCGAATGAAGGTTACACTTGTCATGGTTAGTGAATCTGTCTCCTGAAAGATACATTGTGTTTGCTGGGTTTTCTTTTCTTTCAATTCTTCTTCATTTAAAACAGTATGACAAGATGCAAGCAGAAACTTGTTAGGGCAGTTACAGACTGATAACAGCTATTTTTTAACAATGCTTAGTCCCCTAAGAAGTAATAAAGCTAGGGGAGGCATTTGGTGTGAGATAGAAAGAGAAATTGTGTTTATTAGGCACATTGTTTTAAAGAGCTGTCTTGTGGGGCTATGAAGTAGCTTTGTAAACTGACCTGAGCGGTAACGGAGATAAGTGGGCTACCTGTGTTGCAGTGTTACAGGCCAAAAATGACCCAGGTGACACAATTTCCAACACAGAACAGAGGAGGTGAAATGAAGAGATTACTGAAACCTGTAGACCGTTGTATCAGCAATACTAAAACAAAAACACACATAAACACACGTTCAAACTTGTTGCAGTCTTGTTGTCAGAATGTGCAGGTCTTTAACAGTTTCACAGTAGTCCTTCAGATAATTGTGAAATAACATTAGCTTCAATCTGCAGCCTAAGGAAATGAGCTGTGTTATTGTACAGCCAAAGCTAACTGTTCACCTCTTACACTGAAATGAGCAAATCATTCTAGATTTAATGATAATACATCACTTTAATGCCAGAGAGTAACTAGTCAACCTACTGACCTCACTAAGGAACATAATTCTCCACATAACGACAAATGTTATTTTGATGAAGACTTTAGTCTCAGCAGATATTTAGAACTGCAGCCAGCTTCAGTTCAGTCCAGGTATTTGCATACCTGCCAACAGGTCAGATAATTAATACTTGTATGAAGTAACCGGCGTAAAGCATAGCAAAGCATACCCAGGCCGAATGGAGAATTATTGATGACACATAAAATTCTGCTTTCATGTTGCTTATACAGCAAAAGATTAAAAGAACATTTGCAGTATGGAGGAAAATAGCCTAAAATTTGAGTTTGTTTTTGTATTGGTGTGGAACTGTGTTAATGTCAGTGTTGGTTCTCAGTGTAGCAGAATGGCGAGGTTTAATTTGGGTTTTTTGGAACAGTACAATGCATGAAGAGCTTATCGTGTGTGTGTTGTTTTAGGACTGATTAGCTCTTCATAAACCGCATTTCTCAGCCCAGAGAGAGACGCATCAGGCTCTGTTGTCAGCAGCAAAACAGAGTCATGTGAGTCATGCACACGATTTTCAAAAGAATTGCTGTCTGCTGATATTGGACAAAAAAAGCAAATAAATTAGATCTCCTTTTATTGTTTATAGTTGCTAGGGATATGTTTTTAGTCTCTGCTGAGGCTAGTTGCAGTTCCTTTTGAGTCATGACTTGCAGTAGCAAAGCCTATCAGAAGTGAGGGCCTATAGTATCTATCACCAGGCGTAACACTGTCACTGTGCTCAAGAAAACAATTTCCAGAACAGCGCTGATTATTCTTTACCTCGGCTGTCTTTGTGCCTGTGCTTGTGTGAGCACTATCAGCACGACCACTGACACAATGGAGTGATAGATTTCGTCTTTGGAAACCTCAGCAGAGAGCCATATAAGATTTATGTATCCATGGTGAGGAGCCCAGACACAGACCCCTGCCGTCCCCCCCAACTCCCGTGCCTCTTGGCTAATGCTGATTGACCTACCACAGCTCCATCAGCAGGTCTAGCCAATCAATGAAAAGATGAAAGTCCAGTCAGCAATATTCTAACCTTTCATGTATTTTTTGATTTATTTATGTATCTGCTCTCTGATTCCCCCTGCCTCACCCTCTGTTTGCCGTTACAGTTGTCCTCTCAGGCCAATTAGTTTAAACAAGCCGAAAGCTGTGATGCAGATGTAAATCGCTGCTTTGCTTCCACCATCTGCATCCAGTCATGACCTCAGACTCACATTCACCCCTGTCCTGCCTAATTGTTTCAAATACCAGAGACTCAGACTGTTTTATTTTCTTGTAATAAGAAGATTTCTGACTAAACAGGAAAATTTCTTCCACACTATTCTTCCTCCACTTGCGTTTTACAACACTGATCTTTCCCACTGTTCTCAAAAGCTCACTAGGACTTCTGTGAATCTCTCTTGAATCAACCGCTATGATCCCTTAGCCACATTTGGCTTTGTCGAATTCGGCTTCAGCGCAGCCTGCGTCCCTTTTGATGTATCACACATGGCACCATCCTCTGCCAGGTCCTCTGTTTCCCGGGTGATACACGGCTGGAGCTTTTGTAGAGAACTGAGAAAACAAACTTGACAGTCTCTCGAGGTGATCTTGCTACTCGCTAATGCTGCTCATCTGTTTTGGTCTGTGTGCAGGATAGGTTGTAGGTAGATAAATTTGAGAGGTAGAGGAGGTTTTTTTTAGTGATTCCACCTTCTAATTTGTGTTCCCCGTGTCAATCACTGCCCACACAGAATCACACACACCGTCATGGACACACAGATTTACTTAAATATTCACTATAGATGTCATGATCATTGTCTTAAAGCCCTTACATTAAGGTTTTTAGGACAACACAACACACTCTTACCAGAATATCACCATCATTCACATCACCTTTTCACAGATAAAAATGCAAGATTAAACTTGCCCTTGCACAAGACCTATTGTGCCAAAATGTCTGAATGGTTTTTGTTGACAGAAAAGGCAAGCAGGTCCATGTTCACTTTTGAAGATGGCAGAAAAAAAGCGTGGGTGCTATTTTGACTTTATAAATAGGCAGTTTGCAGAGTGCTGCATTGTTGCTTTCACCACATTGGCCTTCAGATGCCCAACAGACAGTAAATCGACCCATTTTGAAACTGGAAGCAGAGTTGACTGTGCTGGTACTTTGATATTTATGGCCACCCCGCAGTTAGCTGCCTCCACAGTCAAAACAGAAACAAGTTCAGCTGAGGCCATGGAGCACAATAGAGAGGCACTTTGCTTTGGGAACTGCTGCAACACTAAATATAGCACTGAGAGCGCCGTCGCAAGAGCCAGGCCGATTTGTTCAAGCAGAGAGGATTATAAAGCCAGACCATGGCAATGCCCAGCTGAGCCCCAACTCCCTCTGAGCAAGGGGCAGACGAAAGAGTCGGCCTGCGCTCTGACACCTCCTAAATTCATCATCCTCTGCCTCATATCGGGCACAGCGAGTATTTCTGGTCAATCACAGCGCTGCAATCCATTCTGGCTCCTTCATCTGTAAACACGTTTGATTTTTCACCACAGCCATAGCCCTCAGAAGCCCTTTAACCAGTTCATACAGTGCTGAACGGTCAAAGTAATGAAAAGGTGTCAGAAATCTACCTCTTGTGTTTCCACACAAACAGTTTTCTGTCCGAGAGCAGCCTAATAGAAGAGGCATCCCAAGATGAGCAGCAGCCCACAAACAGCACCGTGTTCCCGAGCCCAGCGGAGAAAAGCATGGGGACTCGTATCTCTGTGCCAGGCAGCATGCTGAGAAACGTGCGCCAGTACCGGGAAGACTACGAGGCCTACCTGCGTGTTGTGGCTCATGAGGCCGTAGGCAGCTTCAACCCCTGGGCCATCGCAAACAGGTAAAAGACCAATATTGAAGGCAACAAGTAAAGATTTCTTAACACCCATCTGGTTGTCTGAAGCTGTAGTTAAACTCTACTCATAATTAATTCAGTAATCATTTTTGTGTCTTTTGAGGTTTTATAAAAAATATTTCTACTATATCAGCAGCGTCTCATGCTCAGTCTTTGTAACCAGAGCCACATATGAGCAGGTTTTGTCCTTCCTGTTCTCTGTTGTGTCCCTGGGCATGTTTGATGGACATAATGTACAGTCGGAAGAGCTTTCGCTGAGAGGATCATTCAGAGTTTATGGTTTGCATAGTGTGTCTCTGGTGTTCGCCGTTGTTCTTCTCTCCCACTCCCAAATTTGCATACTTGACAGAATTCTTAAATTGGTGCAATGCAGAATACAGAAGACTCCCGATCATCTTTGTAAACATACTGAATCCATGTCTCTGGTATATCAGTCCTAACCTTCTAAAATAGATTTTCCAGTCAGACCTTTTTTGGCAGTTTTGCATGGAATTGCAAATAGCTCAATAAGTACTTTTTTTTTTTTTCTTGAATTCAAACCAAAAAAAAAAAACTGCTGCCTATTACCACCCTTAGAATCTGATTGTGTGTGTCACTGGCTCATTATCAGTGTCTCTGTGTCACATCAGTGAACCAAAGTTTTCAAGAGATAGGTCTGTACTTTTCTGAATTTTGAAAAAAAAAAAGGATATTATATGAAGAGAAGTCTTCCAATTATCTCAATGTTTTTGGAGGGAGAACACATACATATATGCTTGTACACCCCCCTGCTATTCTGACAGCCTGCAGAAACCTGTCTGTGTGATGAGATGGTAATGAGCAACCCAGTGTTGCTGTGGATCCAGAATATGTGGAGGATATCATTCATTCTGTCTGCATAAAAACAGCAAAAACTACAAAATTAAACTAATAATAATTCAGTGGATGTTTCTTCATACATTAATATCAAGCTTGTGCTGTACAATAACTCGCGCATATTAACTAGCTGAGCTAATTTTGTTTTTGTGGTGTTTGGATCATTAAACATACAGAATACAATAGAATACAGAATAGGGTCATTCAGCACAGCTAACGTGGCTTTTAATGTATGAGTGTCATTAATATTTCCTAATGGTTGTTCCCAATCCATAATGGTAGATTCTTCATTGTGTTTTACCCTGTATCCAGTGTTGAGAGCAAAGTCTTCATGTATTGACTCTTCAAAGGTAGAGGTATAGTTCAACAAGACACAATTACTCTGATTGTTGTGTTGTACCGACAAGCTAATGATTTGACATTTTGGGGGTTCTTTATGAGTGTACACCACTTTCACTTATCCTCTGTGTCCCTGCCTCAGTCTGCGTATGTGTGTATGTGTTGACCCAGATAATGATCAAAACACTGAAATGTAGCTTGGTGCCATACCCAGCTCACCATTTTTTTTTCAGTTATTTTCCTTCATTTTATTCCTTTCAAGGCAAGGCACAGATTTCACTGAGTTTTTCATGTCCAGCTCTGATAGTCAGTAGACCAGGAAAAACCTGCTTTAATCTCAGCTTCTGCATTTTTTCAGATAATGACACAAGACTAATGATTCACATTTTCTTTGAAATCTCAGGAAGTGAGCTTAGTTATACTTTTTAAACTGAGTTACACATTTATTGTGTCCATTAACATTTTTAAGCTACTTTAAAAAGGTGATGCCTCAGATCTGTTAGCAAAAAACAAACATACATATTATAATAATATAATGTAATACCACAACCTGCAGAGTCTTTCTAGTTCTGTTAAATATTGTCTGTTAGTTTTCATGTCAATTTAATTGTAAATATAAGATTATTTTTATTCTACTTGTGATGTAAAACAAGTTTTGTAAGATGTTAGACTCGGACTTTCCAATCAAATCTGACCTTGTGTTTATTTAACTTTTAAAATGGAAGATTTTTGCAGTATGTTTTTTGAGGAAAAATGTCTCAAACATCCTCTTTCTAATGTCTCTGCTCCTTGTTGTGCCACAGCCTGGCAGAGGAGTTACTGTCGGAGGCCCTGACTGACGTGGCAGCAGAGTTTCAGGACGTTGTGGAGGAGTACGCAGAGGCCGTCTTCACCTCAGAGTTTCTTCAGCCGACCCAGGCACCTCCTGCTCCCACTGCAGCTTTGGTCAGCCAATAGGATGTAACAAGCATCACGGATGTAGCAGTTTCTTACAGATTTCTATAATATGTATTTATTTTGGTGGAGAATCTCCATTTTCAGCTCAGGTTCATTTTGTCGACTAAGGGCTACGATTATTCACTATTCTTCTATAGTTTTTCACAAGCAGATATTTCATTTTGTGAAAATGTGATAGATCACTACTTTAAAGTGACAACATATGACTTTATTCATTTGGGATTGTTGATATTTTTAATGACGTTGCAGCAGATGAGATTGTTGAATTGCACAAGGAGCATTAGTTACATGACTCTTTATGGTCCATCTCTGTCTATGATTGAATTCCACGGGGAAAGTTAGTTTAGTTTAGATAAGCTCGGAGAGACCATCACGACATTACAGAGGATTATAAGATTACCACCCTCCCCTTGCACTTGGTTTAAATCTCCCTGAGGATTACTCACACTTTCTATTTTCACATTGGAATATGGAAATAAATTAATTGCATATGGTCTCCATCAAAAATGATTTAGGATAAGATCATGTGTTTAATCTATTGTAACTTCATTTCCTCCTTTGCTTTAAGATCTAAATAAAGCGTATAAATGCAACAAAGGGCTTTATTTCCACTCACTGGTTATTGTGTTATCCCACTAAGTTAAGTCCACTGTGACAAGATAGAGTATAGAACAGGAAAGAGTAATGTGTTTGGACATGAAGTCTTTTCCTTTAGAGTTTTAAATTGGTTTAGCACCAATTTATAATAATATTATCAACGCTTTTCTTCAATTTTGCTTATGTTTTTCCACAGAAAATAAAAATAGGGCCACTCATTTATATACTGTTGAATCTGTCAAGCTGAATCCTGCATAATCATGGTGAAAAATGTCAATTCTGCATGCAAAATAAACAGGGCAGACTTGGCAGACCAAGAAAATGTCTGGGTCCCCAGTGAGCAACATGAAAGCCATGCAGACAGAGCAGAGGGGACACATCCAGATGTTGTGCTGGCCTGTGGGGACCAGCCTCTGACAGCGGACATACAGTGACTGAATGAATTAGCTCACATTGAATCAGCTGCCCCTATTTTCTCTCAGGCTGGGTTCTGCGTGGGCGTCTGAATATGTGCAGGCCTTCACATGCTCGAGCACAGAGCAAATTTCTTCTTCTCAATCTAGGACGAGTAGAAATCAGCAGGCTCAAAGCGAGGCAGTTGGGGGTTGGGGGGGTGTTGCTGTCTTTACACTGAGGTTGTTCTGACATTGGGGAATGTGAAACATAAAACACATTAAATTATTCTGTTCTTTTTTTAAGAGCTAATTTCTAATTATTATTTCATTGTTATGGTTCAGATATTTTAAATGTGTCTGCCAAGAGGTTTTTCAAAGTCAAAGCTGAATATAGTTTCATTTCTGCCTCCTCAGCAGTTACCACTTAGCATTTGACTGAGACAGTTTTGACAGCAGAGAGAGAACAGTGAATTCAGTTCCCTACTTTATTTACTTTTAAATATATATTTTTATGGATGTTGAACATTGCAGTAATGCCAAAATGTACTGTGTAAGCTACTGTGTAGGTTTTAGGCTGGGTGTGCTTATTGATTTTTCAAGGTTAAAGCTAGAACCATGCACAGACAAATGTTAATATGAAAAAGACCAGAATTAGCTCTGTGTTGCACATTATTATAATTTCTAATGGTCAGAGAGGTTCAACCTTGCCGTCAGCCAGCACTGACTCATTATCAGAGCTCATTTCAGAATTGGTGAGGACACAGACGGCTGCAATATACTCATGATACACTGAGGGAGCATTTTGTCATACAGGTACATCAAGGCTGCTTTGTGACATATGGGTTGCATTCAGAACCTTTTCAGCTAATGCGGCACTTATACACCAGATGGATATGAAATCTTATGGCTTATCAGTCATGTTTGCTGTTGATGAGGGACATTGTGTCAGAGCATCGGAGGGATGGTTTCTGCTGCAATGTCTTCATGGAGCGGTCTGTCATGCAAACACTGGCATTGTTTGCATTTATAACGGAACATTCCCCAATGCAAGTTCCTTTTAGTCAAATAATTTTGATGCTTTATTTGCTGTCCCGTGTCACATAAAACACCCGCGACTGAAGAGCAGCCTTTCATCAATGCAGTCACTGTTGCTTTGTTGGAAGCTGCTAGTTATGAAGTTATTGTTTGAAACAAGTAAAGAAGCAGAGTCCCAGCAGAGAGCCAGCTAAACTCACACTGATGGATTATGAGAGAGAAAAGATGATCTGCCAACCTCCGAGCAGATGTGCTTCTGAAGTAGAGTGAATACAACAGAGTTGCACAGAGCATAAAAGCATAAAAATCAGCCCTGTACTCATAACTAATAGAAATTGAATCAAAGGAGATTTCATAAAATAGTCTTTGATATCATGTTTGATCAAAGCATGGAAAAAATATTTGTAATCTTCACTAGAAGTAGCAATGCTGCAATGTAAAAATAGCTCATTATTAAGTAAAAGTCCTGCACTTAGATATTAAATAATGTATTTAGAAAAAACTAAAGATGAGCGAAATATAGCCTGCTGAAAGTATCAAAAGTGTACCCATTCTGCAAAACAGTGTTACATATTACAGTCTTGGATTATTACTATGCATGCACAAACATTCAAGGAGCAAATTACAGTTGTAGCTGGTAAAAGTGTAATTAATTTTAACCACCTTATACACTGTTTGAGCCTTTAATCTATAGCAATAGATCAAAATTAGAATCTAATATCAAACCTTGATCTGCGAAGCCAACAATTACAACTGTGAAATATGCAGTGAAATAACAGGTACAGTATTTCCTTCTAAATGTAGCATAAAATACCATGAAATATAAATAGTCTATTTGAGCGAAGTATGAGTATCTCAAAAGTGTCCTTCAGTACAGTGCTTCAGTAAATCATCTTTTTTGTTTAATGTTACTATCGACAAACATTTAAAATGTAATGATAAGGGTTCATGTTCAAATATTCAAAAAAAATGTTATCTATTTTTGAAGTTTATTTATCACACACAAGTAATATGTGTAGTGAAGTGCAATTCGGCATGTCTCTAAAGACTAAAGAAATATAAAGGATTAAAATTGAAGATAAAGAATTCTATGTTAAAAAAGCTAAATGTTCATATGTCGTAAGTGCAAATGTGCAATATGGATGGCAGAAGACAATGTGCTAGACAAGGCCAAGGCTACACCGAGGTCAAAGGGCAGTGTTCATCAGGGCCTGAAGAAATGCCCTTCATTGCATGAATTGTGCCTTTCTTCATGATTAAATTCAGACCAACAGACCAGCACTACTTCTCATTATCTACATAAAAGCTTATAATTTCATAGCAAGGACAAAGACGGTCACAGCAAGAGAATGCAGTGAGTTTTTAACTGCTAGAAGTAGAAATACTGTATGTAATATATCTGTGTGACACGGCTGAGCAGTTATCACTCAACAATACCTGAATGTGAAGTAGAAGTGCCAGTCTGCTCTCTCACCTTGTGTAGCAACGCTCTGACACACAGGCTGAGGAATATTTCAGTATAAATCATCATATTTTTTAAAGAGCAAAAACCATAGAGCTTCTTGTTTTGTGCCATCAATTCAACTAAGTGGCTTTTCCACCCACAAGTTACTAAATCATATTCTCAGACAGACACAATAACAAATGTACACTTTAGGTGCTAAACTTGGCTTGCTGACTGCCAAGTGTTGTATTTTGTGGCTCTTTAGTGGCTCCCAGAAAGTCTTGCTTTCATTTTCCAAAAGCCCCACAGTGCTTTTGTACCGCCAAAAACATCTTTATGCAGGTCTGAGGTTCTGTTTGTCAAAGTCTAAGATTAGTATGAATTTGAGCTGCCTGAGTTTTTGCACTCTAAATCATCATAAAAATCTTTATAATTATAATTATTGCTATTATTTTTCGATTAAATATTACTTAATGAACGCTGGATGTTGGTGTGTCACGTATAATATCAGTCTGCACTGTAGAGTGGTGCTCTAGCATTGGACTTATGTCTTCAAAATCATGGAGAAAATCCTTCATATGAAAGAAATTCATTTAACTCAATTGGGTTTTTTTTTTCACTTGGATCCAGTCAGTGCAGCCATTTGGTGTAATCAGTGCTATCTGTCTTGCTGACTTCCTGGCTTTAAAGCTTCTTCCTATTAGTTTTTCTTCGTGGGATTTCAGCTTAGAGTCTTGGGCCAGAAGCGTATTGTCATTGGCTTTCATGATAAACACAAATTGGCTGCGTGTATCCCTAGTAGAGTTTGGTAATGTAGCGTCTCCGGCTCTAAGATTCCAGAGCGATGGTTCAGCCACAGGCATTTTCCTCTATCAATATTCATTTGTGTGAACGAGGTTGCCTAATGATGCTGCCACCAGACCGTCCTTATGGGACTGTGTGACCTCATGTGTGGTCACACGTGTGGAGGAGGAGAGGAATAAACACAGCAGGTGTTACATCATGACCACTTCACGCACTATAAAGTGTAATATATGCCATAAACACACAGTGAGAAAATCTGAATTTACAGCAAATCAGGTCAAGATAAGCTTAAAAGTGAATTAGGGGCACCCATTAGGTGAAACATCTGTCAGATTAGACCACATCTCACAACTGGATTTACAGGATTTAACCGCTGAAACATGATTCATATGCTTCATTTGTCTTTTATCCCTAGAAAGCCAAAGAGGAGAAAAAGAACAGACTCCATGCTTCTGCAGAGGGCTTTATCTTGATGGGGTTGCTTTTTATTTTAAGGCACTTCTTGTCAAAGCCTAAAACATTTTCTTTTCTGCCTGGGTGACTGCCCCTACGTGACCAAGGTGACACCTGCTGCTTCAGTGATGGATGGTTGACAGAGGTGGTAGTTTTCACCCCTCCATCCTTAGGTTGCAGTGATTTAGTGTCCTTCTTCATGCTCTTTATCCTCAGACCCCATTTTCTCCATATCCACTTTTATTTAGTAGATATGCAACAGCCACAGTAAAATAATACACAACAAAGGCTGATTACAATGACTTATCTGCTTATTGTGTGTCATTCATGTCATGTTTCTGTACAGACTAATGATTCTGCTGCGATTTGTGTCCTTCTGCTTCATCTTTATTCCTCATATTCACCATATCCTCTTATATGGACGAACTACACTTTAAAGAGGGAGTATATACAACAATATATACAACAGTGACACTCAGTAACTTTTACCTACATTATATTGACATATATTCTGTGTAATTTCTGTAATACTGCTAAACTTATGATTCTGCTGTAATTTAGTGTCCCTCTGCTCCTCATCTTCTCCACATCATCTTTTATATATTGATATGCAACAACCACACCCTATATAGAAGAAAATGTTCAACAAAGGCAACGTGTGTCACTCATAATGACTGAGGCTTTCTGATTGAGCCTTAATGTGGTGTGTAATTACTGTAATATTTTTGTAAAGACTTATAATTCTGCTGTGATAGAATTGATTAAACAATTTAATTAAATGCGTCGTACCAATGACAATAGCCTACAAAGGAAAACAGCTTTCACATTGCAGGCTTCCTCGGTGTTTTTGTTGCACGAGGAAGTCAAATTAGCAGCTGTTGTATTTTTTATCCACAACATTTATTCTTGAGTATTTTTGCAAAGTCAGAAAACGGTGTCAGGAAAGTGGACGGACGCCCTTCAGCAGCCGCAGCCGTGGACGTGCGCGCACCGCTGGAGGCAGTCGAGCTGCAGACCGGGGTTTGTTTGGAGGAACTCCGGCTGATGTTAGCGGCGGAGAGGAGAGAGGGGCGAGAGCTGGGTGGGCATGACATGTGAGCCAAGTCTGCACAGATACAACAAATACCCAAAGTATGTCTGCGGCAGGGGCGGGTCGATGCTCTGAGGGACTTGACACAGGTGAATGAGCACACAGCTGCGGATTCTTCCCGTTTTTTTTTGTTTTTTTTTTGCGTTTCCCTTTTTTCTCCTCTCTGTCCACGGTAAGAGGAGAGCGGCACGGCAGCTGTAGCTCCCCGTGCCTGCTTCACCCTGCTTCGGTCTGGCAGGCGTCAAGGTGCAGCAGGCAGGAGAGGGACTGAGGAAGAGCCGCCGCTGCTTCATCAACTGTCCGACAAAACGCTGCCGCGCAGAATAACGTGACCACTTCACTGAGAGACAGCAGAGACAGAGACACACGGGAGAGGACACTATGTCAAAAGAGACGAGAGGAAAAGGTAAGCGGGGCACTCACTGCATGCATGCTCTCGTGCTAACAGGTAGAAACCTGCGTCTCGTGCTGCTGAATGTTGGCGCGCACAGCCGCCACCGCGTGCTGCATGGATGGAGGCAATCTGTAGGAATGCGCGACGGTCAAAACGGACCTCTGCACGTCAAACTGTCTGGTCCGGTGGACTGTCCAGCCCGGTCTCTATCTATCTGTGTATGTATCCTTATATCTGCCCGTCAGAAAGCCCTTCTGTCCTGTGTTGGTGTTACAACAAAATGTGTGACCCGTCAGATTCTGTGACTCCGCAGGGTCAGATATTGAAAAACGATTAAATATTGACAGGTAGGGACCTACAGACAGACCTAAAGGCCCATGATCACCGGTCTCTGCTGTCACATCTATCAGTATGTCTGACCCAGACTAAGTAGCCTACATGAGGCGACACTATTTTTGGTAACAGCTATTAAAATTCAGGATGTGATCATACAATAAAAAAACTTGCTGATATTCCCAGTCAGGTCACAGAATCTACAGACACAGGACAGTAACAGTGCTTATTGTATTCTATTTTGTTCTACTCCATTCTCAGCTTCAGGCAATACATCGCAGAAAATAAAAGCACAAGGTTAAACCAGAAGTGAAGAAGACCAGTAATTGTGGAAATCAATGTGCATTGCTAATAATAGGCATTTTTTTCATACAGCTGGTTTGATTGTTGAATTGGGTGTGTGGTATTTGAGACAGTGTTGACAGGACACCATCAGCCAGGCCTCTGAAGTCGTGACATTTCTGTTGCATAAAAGATTTATTGTGGCTCATTCAGATGATTCTTTTGTAGCTCAAACAGGCCACCTGTTTGCATTGTGGTTTTTCAGTTAATTTGTCAAAAGAAAAAAGAAAATGCAGCACTTTAGGAGGTTGTGTGTGTTGTTTACTGTTAGGGTAGCTCATTGCCTCTTTCTATACAGCATAGAAAGAGGTAATGAGACCCCCCACCACCATCCATACCCCCTTTTTGTTTCTGTCTTTTTAGACGGATGATTTTTATGATCGCGCTAACTCACAAATTCTTGTGCCACACATTATTGAATAAATGTAAAACCTTATAATATGATAACTGTGGTAGCAGCAGCAGCAGCAGGGAGGTGGCATTGTTAGCAGTGAGAGGTTTCCTCAGCCGTAGGTACTGGGTTTATTTCCCTGTGCTGGTCATGCATCTGCCCCACTGAAGAGCCCTTGAGCAAATCACTGAATCTCCTCCAGCTTCAGGCTTGCTGTTCTGTATGTGGCCTGTGTACTCAGACCTTTTCCACAGGGTGAAAGTTGAGGTAGAATTTCCCTTTAGGGATCAATAACATATCAAATCATTATTACTCCACATAGTGACAAGAAGTGTCACAATAGAGAGGGGATTTTATTCAGTGGGGTTTGGGCTTTAAAATATTGCTGCCTTGGATTTAAAGTACCATCCTCACTTGATGCGAGGCCACAGTGACATACAAAGTAGAAACTCTCTAAGACAATAAGAATAAAACAAGCCAGGCTTAGACCAGGAGCTGCATTAAACTTTTAACCTCTGGTTTTCCCATGAAATATCTCCTTAAGTTCACTATATTTAGAAAGAATGAATTTTCTGTATCTGCTGGCTCCAACACTTTATGGCTGCTGTATATGTGTGCTGTTTTCAGTGAGGGAACTATTATCAATGTATCTGCCTCAAATGATGTCACACTGAGTCAGTATCAGTTAGAAAACCTGGAGGCGAGGAGTTAGACAGAGGTGAGATTATCAGGCCTCTGTAGCTCCTTCCACGCCTGTGCCTGAGAACAGCAGCTCGAGGCTACATTGGTCACTGTAGAAGCATAACGCACCTTGAATCTCCCACCAAACTGTTGGTGGTCTTTGTTGCATTGTGGGTAATGTAGGTGCAATGTTTTGACAAGGAAGGAGAGTGGAATATAAAAAAAACATTCTTGTTCTGCTGCATCGTTTTTGATCTTTTTACAACATAGAGAGTCTGACAATGTTATAGGAGTGCAATACTAAATCGGTGAAGCACTCTTAAGTTGGCATTGTCACTAGAATTTGAATTTGAGTTGTGAGGATTTGAACAAAGACTGGCAGCACAGTAGATTCAGTATGAAGCACATGTCAAGAAAAGATAGCTAGATAGATGGATAGATAGATAGATAGGTTAGGACACAAACAGACTTATACAGAGTTACACAAAATACAGAGTTTATGGGACATGAAATGACATGGTTCACACAACAGAAACAAAGACATGGATTTGACACTCTTTGTACCACAGGCTTGAGTTTTTGTAACTTATGAGGGGCTTACTTATTTTGAACTCGAAGGCCTGTAATAACAAAACTTGCTAAGCTTGGCCCTTCTGTACCTACAGTCAGAAGGGAAGTGGTGGTGACATGCCAGTAGGGTGGGTGTTCTGGGTCATATGTGATTGTGAGTGCTTTGTGGCTCAGGGATGAGGTGACACACTCGGATAAATTGGGGGTGGGAATACCAGCTTGCTGGGTAAATGAATTATCGTCAAGAGTTCATCATATCCGTGATTGTAAGCATATGAAAAAAAAAAAAACCCAAAAAAACAGATGGCACTGTAAAGAAGAACTGGCAGGGAGGGGGAGTCAGTTCTTTAGTTCTGGAGATTATAAAGTATTGAAATGTTGATTGGCAGAGAAAGTCTTTGTTGTTATTAATTAACAGTGCACGGACGGCTGTGTCGTCTGCATATTTGAAGTAGCTAAAATCAGGCGGGTTGATAAAAGGCCCAGGCATGACACAAATGTGAAAGGAAATAACTTCAAACAAGAGAGGTTTGAGATTCTTCTCACTCTCTCAGTGTTTAAAAAGTTTGTTTGCATGCTCATTCTTTGGATTATCAAGACTGAGGTATACAAATCTGTGTGAATCAAAATTGTTATGCAAAAAAAAGAAAAAAGAAAAACATAGGTGCAACCTCTATGGTCGCTACGAGTTTGTTGCACTCCAGAAATCAAGCATGTAGTCCTATTTTTAGTAGACAATCTCAGAAGACAAATTAGTTTCTCTGAATGCTTGGAAAACCATTTTTTTTATCTGAGCAGCTGCACTGGATGTCTTCTCCAGTTAATCTTAATTATGTTGCATTGAGCCTCACCGTAAAATTCACTCGCTAATGGAAACTACACTGTGAGACCTTACATTACTTCAGCCTGGCTCTATAAAATCATGTGAACCCAGCTGTGATGCTCTAGCAGGCCGGTGGCAGATTGATAGCAAGGTGCAATATGTGTGAGGTTACTGTTAGTATAGTCATATCTCAAGCAGGCAGTATATCTGTTTTCATTAAATATCGCTTGACCTCCGTTCACAGTGTAACTTGGGAAGCAGAGCAGTTCGTATAGAAACACTGATCTTCAAAGCTCCACCAGTATGGCCTCAATAGACAGTTTAATTTCACAACTTTCACTTATGTATGCAGATCTTATCTTTGATATTTTCAATTATATGAGGGCTGCATGGGATTCCAAACTTCTTAATTCTAAGTTAAACCTTTGCCCTTTTTCTCACTTTAGAGAAAAATCAGTTTTATTATGGTTGTGGACTGTGAAATAAAAGAGTAGTTGTATACTTCATCAGTGAAGAATAACAGCCAGTGTTTATGGACTATCTAAGCTTTACAGTTCTTTGTGGCTTTTTTCAGCTCCATAGCCTTGTGCCCAGATTCACTGACTGTCCATCAAAACAGAAGAGAGCCCCAATTTTAATCATCCAAACATTGAAAGATAATTTGAGTGGAGTAATAAGGATTTAGGAATTATGAAGGCCACTCTGAGTAAAGCTTCGGCTCTCAAAATAAAGCAGGTGTGACTCAAACTTAAAAGAATATTAAATGCTCTCTCATTGGCATTTTTTTAAGCCACATGGCTCTAAGGATGCATTGCCATGAAATTTTGTACAGACATTCATAGTGTCAGCAGATGAATACTAATAAGTATGGTGATTCCCTGAACCTTCATCTAGCACCACCACAGGGTCAATATTTTGATTTATCCAGTGAAATCCCTCAATATTTTCTCGATGGATCATTGTAGATGATGTATCCTAATGCCTTTGGTGATCCCCTGACTTTTTCTTTCTTTCTAGCTCCACCATGAGGTTGGTAGTTGTGGTTTTGAGTGAAATGTCTTGACAAATATCAGATGGATTGCCATGAAATTTGGAATACACATTTGTGCCCCCCTTCAGATAAATAGTAGTCACGTTGGGCATCGTTTAACTTTTCATCTAGCACAGCTATCTTGTTAACATTTAATTTATTACTTGGTTTGTGACCAAATACCTGTAAGATTAATGATATGTTGCTGATGTTAGATACAATGTTTACCACATAAACATTAGCATGTTAGCGGGATGACATTAGCATTTAGCTCAAAATACAGCTGTGCCTAAAGACAGTCTCACAGAGGCAATTGTCTTTTTGAATAAACATTCAATCAGGCCACTTGGCTATCAGCCATATTACCAAAATGTTATTATTATTATTATTATTTGTTTTTTTTAACTTACTTTGTATTGGGACATATGTATTCTCAGTTCCAGCTGTATTGTGCTTCTCAATGAGGACTGTTTCCACGTTTGCACCTGCAAACTCCTCAGTCTTTTCATTGACCACTGAGGAGCTGCATGACAGTAGAGGGGTTAAGCACTTTTTAATGGGACCCACAATTGAAGCAGCTGGTACGAGAATTCAGTTCCATGCCTGTTTCTCTATCCTCGAGGGTACTTTCCACCCAGTGCATGAGCTGCGGCTTGAAGCCAGGCAAGTATTGTGCTGCCAAATCCCTTGAAGAACTTTTGCTTTTCTAATCACCCTCGGTCATTTTCATCACCCCCCCCCCCACGGTCTACCTGATCCCCACTGCTTGTCTTCCGTAAGACTTCACGGACCATTCCAGGGCTCAGTGTGAAGTCTAGCACCTCTGAGCCTTTTGTATTCCT